AAACATCAGAATAAGATACAATGCCATAAAAAAAAATTTTTTTTGGCTGCTTAGAATAGGAGACACTGCAGTGTGCTAGTCATAAAAAGAAATCAAGAAATCATTGTGTTGATATAACACCATGCCTAAAATGTATTATCTAAAAATGTTTGGGGTTTTCCAGTCCAAACATGGCTTTCAGATCTGGCAACAGGACCAACATTTCATTTGTCATGATTCACAGATTAAATGCTAAATTACTAATCAGAACTTACTCAAGTGTTGCAGTAGTTCTCACTGTAAGTGTAAACTGCGCAGTATTAACTAGAAATATGAGCTCCATGGGACACATTCTTCTTGTACAAGGAGCCAGTAACCTTCTGACTCAATGACTGGCTTGTGCTACATTGGCAGCCTGCAACAAAATATGTAACATCATACACAGGATTTAATTCTCCGGTGTTTGAAAATATAACTGTTGACTGTTATTTCCTCCATGTGTAAAACCCACTTTTGTCCAGTAAACATTTATTAAGTACTTACCTTGGTTAGCACTGTATTGGAGATTAGATAATAGCATTGTCCTCATTCACGGCTTGTTCACCATCTTATTGAAAGTAACTGCTTAAACTTTTTTGATGTTGGTATAAACACTTACTTACTACAAAAATATCTTAGAAAGAAGTAGGGAGATAACAAGAAATGATTAGCTTCAACCAGTTTATCTTTTCTTTGCTCTTTATTTAAATCTATTAAGTTAACACGTATATAGTGTCTGAAATCATTTGATTAAGCATTCGAGTAAGTCTTTATCTTTGCACAGAGGCTAACAAAACACCAAATCTAGTTTAACAAAAAGTAGATCATAAAGGAATTGCCTTTTTTTCTTTAAAACATCAGATGTGCAGAGTTGAGTTAATCAGACTTCTTGCTTTCTGGCTTGTTACCATCTTTGCAAACTCCTCTCCTACTTTTAGTGCGTGTGTTTTTCTTTCATCCCCGTGTCCAACCCACTCTCCCCCTTGGTCACCCAATATAATATATGCAATTCACGTCCTTATTGCATATGAATCTCCTGAAATATGTAGTAGTATTCTTGTGTGTGACACTTAATTTACATTAGTTAGATTGTACTATAAATTTCAACATAGTTCTTTTTTCTCCCTCAACACTATACTTTAAAACGTATCCACGCGCTGTGTCTAATTTGTGCTCGTTTCTTCTGATACAGCCACGCCAAGTTCCGTCATGTGCATACACTACGTTTTTCTTATCCACACCCCTAGCGAGTAAGTCTGTGTTGCCTCCACCTTTTGCTCCTACAATCAATGCTGTAGTGAACATCTTCTTATAAGTCCCTCGTGGACCAGCGGAAGTTTTTCCCTGTCAGATATACCCTGGGATAGGATTGCTAGGGCAGGGTATAAGCATATTAATTTTTCTAATTACTGCCAGATTGTTTTTTAGAATGAGGGCAACAAGTTATCATCTTACCAATGAGCATAAAATGTCCCATTTCTTCCCATTTTCTCAAACATCTCGTATTATCCAACTTCTAATTTTTGCAAATCTAATGAAACAATGGGGAATTCATTGTTATGATTTAATTTCTCTGAAATGTGAGGTTGAAGCAAAGTTGAACATTTGTTTACATACTTAGTCATTTGGACTTCCCTTCCAACAATGCTCAAGTGTGGGGCCTGCCCACTAGTGGAGGTCCTGTATGAGTCCCACACAGTAAGAACACGCCTGCCAAGACCTAGCTCCTACCTTCCATTTCTAGAGGAAGCCCAATGTGTTCAGAATTGCACAGGCCTTCCCCTAGCCCTCTCTACCCCTTGGTGTGTCTCTCCTAAATCCCACCTCTCAATGTGTCCCTCATCTTCTAGATCTAATTGAACCCTGGATCACTCCAGAAGACACAAGTGAAGGCTATTATTTCTCCCCAGTCCTTGGATCCCAGTGTTTGGAGAAGGTGTAGATGTTTTATTTGGCCCTTGTTGCTGGTTCCAGGCCATTCTCTCTTTCTCTTCTCTAAAATCCTGCATCTCTGAGTCCCATGTTATTACAATGCATCACCCACCACTGCTCACAGCTGCTGTCCTCTGCCCATGTCTGTTCTCTCTCTCATTCCCAGAGATGATGTGCTCACACCTTCTCCTCTCAAACCTCTTCCCCATTTTCTCTCACAATGGGTCTTGCTCTCTACTTTGCTGAGAAAATGGAACTATTCAGAACCCCATCACCCTTTTCCACATCTACCCAGCACCTACCAGCACACACATGGTCTTCCCAACAGTTAAGTGGATGAGCTCACCAAGCTTGTATGGAAGGTCAAGCCCTCCAGTGTGTACTAGATGCCACCTCTTTTCACCTGCTCAAGGGCATTGCTCTAGCAATTTCCTTCTACCGCCTGTGTTAGCAATTTTCCTTAAAGTACACTCATACAATTATTTCTCCTATGCTCAATTTGAAAAACAAAAACCACCCCCTGCATCACTTCTCTCTCCAGCTACTGTCTTATTTCTCTATTTCCAGTTAGCAAAACCCCTTGAAAGAGTTGTCTGTATTTGCTTTCTCTGATTCATCTCCCCCCATTTCCTCATAACCTATTTCAGGCATATTTGTCCTACCACCACCCTAGGGCTTCTCTTATCAAGGTCATAATGGTCCCTATGTTGCCAACTTTTATTCCTCATCTTATTTGAATTACCAGCAACATTTTGCACAGTTGAGCACTTCTTCCTAAAACGACTTTCTTCAATTTGATTCTAGGACACCACTCTCTTGTTTCTCTCATCTCGATACTCCTTTTCAGTTTTTTAGCTGGAAGTCTTTCCTAACATCTCTGAAACACTGCAGTTACTTAATCTTTCTGAGCCTCAGTTTGTCATCTACCTTGCACAGTTACTATGAGGGTGCAATGAAATAATCTATATCAAGAACCAAGCATTAAGCTTAGATCACAGACATTCAATGAATGATAGCTATTACTGTTAGTAGTAGGACAATTAGAATTCCCAGGTAAGGAATAATAGAGAAGATGCCTATAGTGATGCCCAGTCAGCTTACCCTAGGAGTGCATAAAAAATAAAAGGTCACAACTTTAACCTTGAAAAGAAATATACGGTGATAAAATAAAGACTAATCTTATTTCTTGATATGAAAATTCTTTTTTATAGCGCTTAAATATCATCAGGAAATTGAAATGCAAAATGTTACCTTAAATAGGAGATTGTAAGAACATATATTTTTAAAACACCAATATTTTATTACACCAATACATAAGCCAAAAATTATTAAGGTCAGTGATATACTTTTTTTAGCTTAGCATGTCCATTATGAAACTTTGAGAGTTTGGTCTAGGAAAAAATTTATGTTATTAAGAAAATGTCATTAGTCACAATGGGCTAGCGTGTGCTGCACGATATATAAACAACCCCAAAATTTCAATGGCCCGCAATGTAGGTTTGTGGGGGTTTTCCTGACTTATGTCACATGTTATCATACATACGGCTTTGTCTCGTGTTGTTTTCACTCTAGGACGTAGGCTGATGGAGCAGCCACTATCTGGAACAGTGCCCGTCACTCTAATGGGGGAAAGATGTAGCAAGGCACACACTGGCTCTTAAAGCTGCCCCCTGGAGTGATACGCATCACTTTCTTCACATGTCAAAGGCGAAAGCAAGTCACTGGCCTACACACAACTGCACCTGGGTGCAGTCATGCAATCCTTCCACGTTCACAGAAGAGGAGCAGGGCTTCTGAACAGCCCTGCTCGCTACCACTGTTGGGTCACTATTTGGAGTTCGGTACCCAGTTCCTTTGATTGCTTGGGTGGAAAGAAACCCTTAACCCTCAATAGTCCTTATAAAACAGGTAGTAAGAACTTTCTCCAGAATTGCACAATATATCATACTTTCAATAGAAACCTGAAACAGATCTGCAAAAGTTCCTTTAAGGTAGCAAGACTTGATGGAAGTACTGAACTAGGAATTGGCATTTCTGTCTAGGTTTTACAACTGATATCTTCTGTGGCCTAAGGCAAGTTGTTTAATAACACCATCCTTCAAGAAAATAAGGAGACATAATGACTGATTGACAGGGGGACATTTCTGAGCAGAGTAAGGAGGTGGTTGAGATTGACAGCGAAACCTTCCCATCAGATGGAAGCCTGAACCGCTCAGTGACTGACACTAAAGAAGCAAAATACTGACACGCAAAGTGCTTCAAATCCTACGTGATGGGCTGTCTATATCGTAAAGAGTTGTTATATACGAGCATGTCATATTCCCTTCTCTGTTTCACGCTGATAGAAAAAGAAAACCCACGTGCTCAAATCTGGCTCTGAATTTTCCCTGTAGTATTACAGGCTTTATCAGGAACTAGCTCCATAATATTATATTTATCACATATCCCAATGTGGATGTCGGCAATACCTAGTAAAGAGTCCCAAGAGAAGGGAGCAGAAATAATTTCTACCAAGGCAACTATTTCCTACGCAAGGTTGTAAATAATGGCGTGCTGGAAGCAGACGTTGTGAGTAATAACTTGTGATGCTTTAAGCTATCACAACTCCAACACTACCAGATCAAAATATTTGCACAATTATAAACTTTTTAAACAAAGCATTTCAAAACACAGGCATTACGCAGCATAGCACACTACATACTATACAATTTATATTCCCTATTGTGTTTCCCTTTTTCAAATTACATAAGTAATTTACAAGTATTTCTTCAACGCAACAATTCAAACACAGAAACAACGGACGTTCACCCCATCCCCACAGACAGTGGTAACCTCTAAGTTTGACAAGCCTCATTTTATTTATACGATAATACACACATACACACACACACATTTTTTAAAGTTTTTTTTTACATGAATGAGATGAAAGCCTATCAAAATATAATTTATTTTTTCCCTTAATAAGGTGACTTGCAGAGATTTCCATGTAAATATATATAGCTTTATCCTATCTTTTAGTTAGCTGCATAGTATAGTTATACATTATTAACACTTCCCCTGTTGATAGTTATTTAGGCCATTTCTAAATTTTTATTATTAAAGATATGGTGCAATCTGTTAAAAATATGTCTTTAAGGTAGAATTTTAGTAGTGGACGTGTTGGGTCAATGGTATGCTTATTTAGACCCTGATAGATACTGTAAGTGTGTCTTCCCAGTGGATTCCCCATTTTACAGCCCGACCAGAGCGTATGAGGAGGTCTACTTGCCCTCAATAGCTTGTGCCACCTAATGTGTGAAAACATCTCATTTGTTAATTTATTTTTTCCTTATTAACAATGTAGGTTAGCATGTTTTCATTGTATCATACTTCAATGAACTGAAATTCATGTTTGGAGACATTTTTTCAACTGCGTAATTTGTATTTTTCTTACTAATTTGTTGAAACAGTTTAGATATTCTGGATAATAACTTGTTGTCTGTTAAATATGTTGTAAATATTTTTCCAGTATAATACAAGGGTTTTTTTACTTTCTATTTAGTGTATTTTGTTATACAGAAATTTAAATCTTTAGGTATCCAGATCTGCAGTCTTTGTGCCTTGCTTAGGAAGACTTTCTACTCCCTAAATTAATTTGATTATTATTCTATTCTTTCTTTAAATCTTGTCTTTTAAAGCCAGGTCTAGGGCCGGCCCTGTGGCTTAGCGGTTAAGTGCGCTCGCTCCACTACTGGCGGCCCGGGTTCGGATCCCGGAGGCACACCAAGGCACGGCTTGTCCTGCCATTCTGAGGCCGTGTCCCACATGCAGCAACTAGAAGGATGTGCAACTATGACATACAACTATCTACTGGGGCTTTGGGGGGAACAAAAAAAGGAGGAGGATTGGCAATAGATGTTAGAGCCGGTCTTCCTCAGCAAAAAGAGGAGGATTAACATGGATGTTAGCTCAGGGCTGATCTTCCTCACACACACACACACACAAAAAAAAAGCCAGGTTTATTGAGGTATTATTTATAGGCAATAAAATTCATTTTATTTTTAGTCCACAAGTTCTGACAAATGCATGAATTCATGATATCACTACAGTCAAGATATAGAACAGTTCCATCTCCCCAAAAAATTCCCTCACATCCCTTTTGTCTACCATTGGCCCAATACCCAGCCCCTGGCAACTAATGATCTATAGTTTTGCATGAAGTCATAGAAATGGAATGATATAGTCTGTAGTCTTTTGAGTCTAGCATCTTTCACATAGAACAATGCACTTAAGATTCATCTCATGTAGTTGAAGGTATCAGTACATGGTTACTTTTTATTACTAAGTGGTATTCTATTGTATGGATGTACCATATCTTATTTTACCATTCACAGTAGTCCCCCATCATCTGCGGGGTATATGTTCCAAGACCCCCCCAGTGGATGCCTGAAACTGCGGACAGTACCAAACTCTACATATACTGTGCTTTTTCCTGTATATATATAGGGGAACAGAATTTGCCACCCCAAAATGTGTCTCTTTGGCTTGATTATTTTTAAGAACAAAAGACTCAGGAAGAAACTTTGATATACCCCCTAAATGCCTAAAAGAATTTAAGATTGAAGGCCTATTCCAGGAGAGAGCTATCACTACAGATAACTATAGTATAATATGAACTAGGTGTGGCAGACAGGGAGGAACCTAGCAAGGCCCCTTTGATCAAAGTCCTCTCCACGTCCCTGCAGGCATGGCAAGCATTTGTCTACCAAACATTTGCTTTTCCACCTCCAAGTGAACTGCCTTCCTCCCCTTTGAAGTCTTGAACCACTACCCCCAACATCCTCTTTTATCTTTAGCTGAAAATGACATGTAAGGTGGTGGCTTTGGCTATTTTGACAAGTTACTCAGTTTTCCTGGGTTTCTCCCATGTATACATGTTATTAAACTTGTTTGATTTTCTCCTGTTGTTATGTCTCATGTCGATTTAATTCTTAGACCACCCAGAAGAACCTGGAAGGGTAGAGGAAAATTTCTTCCTCCCCTACACATATATACCTATGATAAAGTTTAATTTATAATTTAGGCACAGTAAGACATTAACAACAACTTCTCTTTGGCATATCCAAATTGCCGGCATCACTACTCTTGTATTTTGGGGCCATTATAAAGTAAAATAAACGTTACTTGAACTCAAGCACTGCAATACTGAAACAGTTGATCTGATAATCAAGATATTTACTAGCGACTACCAGATGGGTAGCATATACCATGTGGAAACACTGGACAAAAAGATGATTCAAGTCCCAGGCAGGACAGAGTAAGATGGCACAAGATTTCGTCATGGTACTCAGAACAATATGTAATTTAAAACTTACGAATTGTTTATTTCTGGAAGTTTCATTTTAATATTTCCCGACTGTGGTTGACTGTGAGTAACAAATGTCAGAAAGTGAAAATGCAGATAAGTGGAAACTACTGTACTAGTTGAAGGACATTTGGGTAGGTTTCAATTTGGGTGACAACAAAACCACTAGAAATATTCACTATAAAATTTTTGGATAAACGTAAGTTTTTATTTCTCTTAGGTAAATACCTAGGGGTGGGAATGCTAAATCACATGGTAAATGTATATTTAACTTGAAAAGAAATTGCTAAACTGCTTTCCAAAGGGACTGTATTATTTTGGTTTCTCAGCAGCAGCATATGAAAGTTTCAGTTGCTCTGCATCCTTGTCAGCACTTGGTATTATTGAGGTTTTGAATTGTTTTGTTTCTTTAGCCATTCTATTTTGTGTAGTAATATAACATTGTGGTTTTAATTTGCATTTCCCCTATGATTAATGATGTTAAGCATCTTTACATGTGTTTGCCATCATATGTCTCCTTGGGTGAAGTATCTGTTCAAATCTTGTGCCCATTTTTTATTGGGTTGTTTTCTTATTGTGTTTTGAAAGTTATTTATGTAGTCTAGGTACAAGTTCTTTATCAAATATGTGTATTTTCTCCCCGTCTGTGGCTTGCCTTTGTACTCTCTCAACACTAGCTTTCAAAGACCAGAGATTCTTAATTTTGATGAAATCCAGATGATCAATTTGTTCTTTCATGAATTATGTTTTTAGTGTCTTATCTAAAAAATCTTTGCTGAACCCAGAATCATAAAGATTTTTTCTTACATTTTATTCGAGAAGTTTTATAGTGTAGGTTTTATATTTAAGTCTATGATCTATTTTGAGTTATGAATTATATTACTTTGCTAGTATTGCCATAACAAATTATCACAGACTGGATGGCTTAAACAACAGAAATTTATGTTCTCATAGTTCTGGAGGCTAGAAGTCTGAAATCAAGGTACTGGCAGGTTTGGTTTCTTCTGAGATCTCTGTCCTTGGCTTGCAGATGGCTGCCTTCTCTCTCACGGCCTTTCCTCCATGAGCATACATCCCTGTTGTCTCTGTGTCCTAATCTCCTCTTCTTCTAAGGAGACCAGTCAGATTGGATTAGGGCCCTCCCTAATGACCTCATTTTACCTTAATCACCTCTTTAAAGGCCCTATCTCTAAATACAGTCACATCCTGAAGTACTGGGGGTTAGGACTTCAACATATGAATTTGAGGGGACACAATTCAGTCCATAACATGAATCAAAATTCATTTTTTTAATATGGGCATCTAATTGTTCCGTAACCATTTGTTGAAAAGACTATTCTTTCTCCATTTTTTAAAAATGGTAAACCTATTTTTCCTTCTGTTCTACAAGTGAAATAGTACTGGCATCCTGACACTCCTTGGAGATGTCTTTCTTTCGTTAAATATCTGGCTACTTAGTTACCATAAGACCTCATCTGGTCTCATTTTTTAACTTCATTATGAGTTCAAGAAAAATGATGATTTTGAGATTTTCTGGCTTTTTCTTGTTGTTAGGTTGGGAGACACTCCCTTTCTAGGTTTATATCCTTTCAAAGTTCCATAATGCTATTTTTAATTTTTCTATGTATGTTTTGCTCATTAATTCAGATTTTCTTTATGTCTCTCAGTAAAGGTTCCTATTTTTTCATAAAATTCTTAAATTTTATAAAGTTTATTTCTTGGTATTTTAGAACTTTAATCTTTGTTACTTTGCTGCTCTTAACAGTATCCTTTACTATATGATGGATTTAAACTATCACTGGTGTATAGGAAAATAAATGATTTTTGTAAATTGATCTGGCAAACTCACTGAATTTATTAAATCTAAGTTTACCAGTTGATTCTCTTGAATTTTCTAGTCCATTTATTCCTGGTTTGTAGCTCCTAGAACTATCGTATTCCCATAGCAACATTCTCCTATGTGTTTTTGGCTATAGTTTCCTCTTAATTTTGTCCATAGATCTGATCCTATCTGTTTTCTCTGTTTCAGAAATTTATAGCTTGCGTACGGCACTCTAGTTTTCCTGTGCTTATATAGATTTTTTTCAAAATATTTTTTTATAACTTCTTGAAATATACTTGCTCAGTGTGGCTACTTGAACTCCATCCTTGCTTGCTTTCAAATGCACCTCTCACTTGATAATTTTCATGAGTAAAACTTGCTTGCAATCAGGTATATTTTGGAAAAGCACACATAAAGTTTCTGAAAACTACGTTCATATTTTAAATCTTCTAGGTAAACAGTTTTTAATAGCATCTTGCAAACTGGGTAATTAGTTGTCAAGTACAAACTCATAATTACCAGAAAAACAATTCCTATACTATCCTTTCTCTATGATTTTCATTAGGCTTTGGTATCAGTATAACTCTCAGCTCATTCACTGATTTTGGAAGTTTTTTGTTTTTTTTCATTTCTGGAGAATTTTATGTATTATGGAAATTTGGTGGTCCTTGTAGGTTGCTAGACCTTTCCAGGAAAATTAATTTGCACTAGTGTCAATAATAGGAATAGATTTCAATCACTATTTCAATTTTTTCAATGGCATTCGTCTATTCCAGTGTTTTGGCTCTTCTTGAGTTAACGTTAAATTAAAAAATCATCTATTTAATCTAGTTTTTCAAATCACTTGCATAAAGCTTCTCATAGAATTCTTTTATCATTTTTAATTGCTTCAATTTCTGCAGTTATATTTTCATTGCTCATGGTCTCTAATTTTTCTATCCAACTTGTCAAAAATATGTCTTTTAATAATTGTTTTCAGAGCACCAGTTTCTGGTTTTTAACACCTTTTTTGAAAGTTTTCTATCTCTTTACTTCAACTTTTATATTTAACAATTTCTTTCTACTTTCCTTGAATTTATTTTGCTATAATAACTTCCTGAGCCGAGCATATTTCATTCATTTTCATAACAAGTGTATTTAAGACTCTAAAGTCTCTAGTTTCTCTTTGACCACTTCTCACAGGTTTTATGCTTCCTTTGTCATTTTATTTTCCAATTATTAGAGAATTGCTTTAATGGGACAAGGACCAGCTAATAGTGGCAGAGGATGGCACGTGTGTGTGTCCTCCTTTGCTAATTTTTTTTATTTAATTTTTATAAGATAGTTTACATGGCTTCTGCTTTTTGCTTTTAATTCATTTTTTGTTTTTAATTCATTCATTGACATTTTGTTTGGAATTTATTCAAACTTTTATGACAACATCCATGTATTTAAAAATAAAGTGTAAGCTGGATGCAGATGTCTCTTAGAGTCATTAGGTGCAAATAATGAGTAGGAGACAAAAAACAAACCTTGATTCACATGCTTATGTCTGAAAAATTAAGATGACCTCATGGTATATAACATTATTGGTTATAACAGCATAACCAATAAGAATTCAGAGAGAAAGCCTGACAAGCATTTTAAATATGTTGGTGTTATTCTAGCCTCTATCCTCTTCGAATAGATATGGGCAGAATTGTGGTTTTTAATTTTTTCTTTTTTGTGTCACTTCATCTTTGAATGGAAAAACCCACAAATCCTATTTCTTATCATATCTTCTAGGTCTAGTGGCATAGGAGGCATTAGAAAAGTGGACTCTTGGAAAAGGAGACTGAACCAATGCAAGTTTAGGAGATTATATAGAATTGGTCTAGATCAAGTGATATTTCTTTGGGAAACCATTTGCAATATTTGATAGCACATAATTAAGTTACTGGCAAATATTTCTCCACAATTGGGATAGAAAAGGCTCTACAAAGGCTCTACAAAAGATCATTTTTTTCCTTTACCCACTAATGTAGTTATATCAACAACAAGTATAAATTGAATAAAGGAGAAATTACTTTAAAGAATACAGTTATCCGCATTTCTTCAGATGCAACCTGAAGGTGGAAATGGAGTCCCAGGATTAGTAATAAACAGGATTATTCTGGCTTTCAACCCCTAGGCATGTGATGATACCTTTCAGTCCTCATAGTCACCTCATACCTGCTTCCAAGTCTCTAAGGCTCAGTGCAGGTGGGGTTACAATCCCCTCTCTCAGCAGCCATGAAGTCTGTAACCAGAAACCAGGCAAGGAAAGGGTTGATGGGAACCTGATCCATAACTGAACATAGTCTGTCAAATGTTTTCCAGAAAGGAGAAAACTAAATGTGCTGTTTTCCAGAAGTTGATGTCCTCATTTTTTGCAGATGTTGCCATCCTGCAGTGAAACTTACAAGGTTGTAGCAGGATCTCTGCAAATTGCTCCAGCTCTAAGTGTCCAGAAGATACCTCGGACCTGTCACGTAATGGCATGTTGCACTGAGCTCCTTATGTAATGGCGTTGAACTCATTCTGTAACGGCCTGCACGTGTGCCCTGATTGGGCCCAGTTGTTACACAGTTGTAACATATCCTCTGCACTCTGGTGTATAAAGTCTCCACCTGCACTAAGCTTGGGGGCACAATGCTTTGGGAGCTATCCCCGGGGTTCTCCATTGCTTGTGCAAGCAATAAAACTTGTTCTCCACCCACTTCAGCCTTGGTTGTGCTTTTCAGCTCTGCACTCACCAACGGACAGACCCATTGAGTTTGGTTACAAGTCCAGAGGCCTCAGCTGCTCCCACGGTTATGTGAAGAAGCCTCACCTGCTCTACAGAAAGGAGGAAGGCAATGAGGTCATGCCCAAGAACTGTGACTCCCCACTCTCTCAAGCCCCAGATCTCCTCCCAGTACTGATATGACCTGGCTGAGGGCCTCTGCCACCACTGTGGCCTTGGAGTCCTCACCAAACCTCACCTGGGTTATCTGGAGCTTCAGTTCACCCAAACCAGAAGCCTCCCTTGCCA